AACTCCAGGATCTCCCCTGCTGAAGCCTTGATCTTCTTGGATTTCTTGTGGTTTGCCACATGCTTGCTGTCAAACAACCTGTGCACATTCTGGTTGCTCCTGAAGCCTGGCTGGACCCACAACTTGAGGAAATCAGCAAGTCTTTCCCAAATTTGTGGGAGGCCATTCTCACACACAGTTGAAATGACCAAGTATGCCACCCATCCCATGACTCCATTTGAAAGCATGCCATGCATGAAGTCATGCACATAACCAGAAACTGGTCGAAGCATTTTCTGTGAATCCAAAGAATCAGACAGCAACAAAGCATAGATTGAAAAATCTATACCTGCTGCCTGCTGCCAGGACTTGAACTGCCCCTTGTTGCAAGTACTCTGTCTATCCCTCATTCTCCTCCAGCAGGACACAAGTTCTTTGTCAGAGTTCATTTCCAAGTGTGCCTTTTTGATGTATTTGGACAACTCCTTGTCTCCATTTTCCTCTGCATCATCTGCACTTCTTGTAATGAACAAGTTCTTGCAACTCTGGCAAATTCTGCTTCCACTGTCTTGCTTGTTGGAGAATGTCAGTTTCTGAGCCTGGCCATCCTGAAGCCACATCTGAAATTTAAAAAATAACCTGCAAGTCTTGTCCCCTCTTTTCAGCAACAGTCCATTGCTTGGATGCCCCAATGCATTCCCTCCAAAAATGTTCTCTAGAATGATGCGAAATAATTGTCCAATGGATGCTTGAAGCTTTGAAACATCCTCACTCCTCTTCACCATGACTGTCCACCACAATTCAGATTTGCTAAGGTGCCTCCCAAACTGCACAAAAGACATGTACACACACCAGACCTTTCTAGCAGTCCCTGCCAATTGATTACCTGGGTGTACTTCATCTGCGTAGCAGACAAGGCCCCAGGGATTGGCATAGCTGCTGGGAAACTCACCATGCACCTTGTCAAAGTAATCAGCCCAAGAATCAGCCATTGCATATGTTCCTGCCAACAATGACAAGAAATTTACAAAGGTGATCTCCACTGCCTGATCTGACAAAGTGTAAGCAACAGCTGTGATGACTAATGGTCCATACAGGCACATTCTCTCAAGCATTTGCCTGGTTGAATCATAGATGTGCTTCCTCTTGCGCTGCTCTGGCACACCTTCCTTGGCAACAATGTCAAGGATGCTTGTCAAGGCAGACTGGCTCACAAATGGAACCCTGGCCCTTAGGCTTTGCACAGACAAAGAGGAAGAGGAAGCCATCATGGCATGAAGTGGTGAGTCATCTCTGCTTGGCATGTTTTCCTTGAAAGCTGTTTGTTGGGAACTGATGGTCAGCTTCTGTAGATGAAAGCTGTGTGGGGTTGGCCAACAAACTGAACATATTCTTTGTGGCTGGTTGACATAATAGTGAGCAGCTAGTGGCAACATATACAAATGGCTCTGATTTTCCAAACAAACCAAAGCCACACAAAAAAGCCAAAAAGGTGGCTGAGAAAAAACATATCAACTTGGCTGACACAAAACTGTATACTTCCAAGCCAACATGGCTGAAAAAAATCTCTGTCAAATACACACAGCCAAAATAGCTGAAACAGAAAACATATTGCAACTTCTTGAACAAATTCATTATTGCCAAAAACACAACCAACCAGCTCGACAAGCTTGAGCAAAGCTTTTTCACACAAGTCACCCCATCCCAAGGAAACATCTCAGGAGTTCCCAAGATGCTTCAGGAACAAATAGGCACCACCACTCCCTATATAGAGAGTGACCCCTCACTTCCTCTTTGCATTCTGCTTTTGGTGGTAGTGCACCCACTCCTCTCTACTGTAGAACTTCTTCCCAACAAAGGTGCTTTTGCTGCAAGAGCTGCAGCCATTCATGTTGCCCCTGCATCGTAGGCAACCAAATCCTTGCCTTTTCTTCACATTCTTGTTCTTCTTGGATGACTCTTGCTTTGGTGCTTTCTCCTCATTGACTTTCTGGCTTTTAGCCTTGGGAGCAGACTGCTCAGAGAGCATCTCTGAAGATGCACAAGGTCTTTTCATCCTTGTCCTCTGCCTAGCTTCCAACAAGGCAAAAGCCTCTTGCTCATAGTCTTCCAGGTCTTTCTGTTGTTGCCTGTCATTGACTTTCTTGCCATTCTCACCCACAACCTCTGGTGTAGTTGGTGTAGTACCAGGCTCATCACCATTGGTCAGGGCCAATGCTGGCTTTGCAACAGGGGCTGGCAATGCCTTTGTGCTTGGGCTGATCTCTTGGGAGTCAGTTTGGCACAGGCTGTCTGAACTGGCAGCATTTGACAACTTCTGGCCCTGCAGCATCTGAATGTTGCAGGCATCCATCTCTTTGGCCTTCAAAAGCATGCCCCCAAGGCCTTCCACAATGGTCAGCAATCCCTTGCAAAGCCCTTGGTCGACCTCTGAGGAACCCTTGGACATCTTAGCTGCACTGCTAGTTGGGACCAATGTCTTGTGAGAATTCCTGACCCCTTTGTTGCTAGCAACAGAGAGCACTGCACCTGCAACTTCTGGTGGGATCCTTGCAGGAAGGTCATCTCCATAGACCTTGCGCATGAACTCCTGGAAGCATATGGAGCTGGCAATGGCATGGCCACTATTCAATTCAAGCCTATCCCTATACCACCAACTTGTTTAAAATGAAACAATCAAAATTTAGAAAAGAGTCACCAGTCCTCTCCAAGCTCTTGGGGTGTCAAGGGGTACTTGTTGTAGCTCCCAACTGCAGGTGCCTGCAGAGAAGCCTTAAAGGTGTCCCTGACAGTCTCTGCAAGCTTGTAGAATTCACCAGCAGTGGGCAAGTGATGCGCCTGTTTCTCCTGGAGGTAGACCAGGAAGGAGGTGGCATGCTTCTTTGTCTTTTCTTTCATGCTCTTGAGGCCAGCTTTCCTCAACCGAGCTACCAGCACAGAACAGGCTTCAGCAAAGGTAAGCTCTTGAATCTTCTCCCATTCTGTCTTTGACAGGTAGTTGAACACATTGATCATGGACTGGGGACATGTTTGTAGTCGAAGATGTCCTTCCATTGTGTCTGCACTCTTCTCCTCCAAGGCATCTGCCAGCTGCTCTTTGATTTCTTCTGGCAATGAACAGGAACTGAAGCATTCCATAACTTTGACATATGTTGAAGGTGGCACTGAATCAATGGTCTGGAGCTTTGCTACCAAACACTTGACCATAGCATCCTTCACTTTGCTTTCCTTTCTCATCTCAAGAATGACCTCCAGGTGCTTCACCTCTTGGATTATGTCTTCGACACTCCATTGGGTCATGGCTGGAATGACTTTATTGCAGAATGAAAAGTGAAGAAGAAAACTGTGTGTGCAAGATAGCATGGATGTCTATCTGTGAACTTTTTTGAACACTTGTCAAAAAGAAAAACTTGTAGCCCAAAAAGGCTGCAGTGAGCTAATCTAAAGCATATTGATGCCAAATCACCAATGAAGCAAATAGTGATTTCAGAACTATCTCTTATACAAAAACTAGAACAAAAAGCCAAACAAGGCTGAAAACAAAACAAAGGCTGACCACAGCATGCATTGCACACTTTTTTCATTCATCTCTTGAATGCAGTCTGCCAAGAGCTTAAAGCTTGGACCTTGAGCAAAAAAATCTTTTCTCATTATCTATGAGGTGACCAGCTGCTGCCTTGCAGTAGTTGTGACCCTCCTTGAGCATCCAGGCAGTGAATAGCTTCTTCATCAAAGGATCATTTACCACAAGCCTGACAGTGGGCTGCTGGGAAGCACTGGACAAACACTTGTCTGATCACAAGTGTTTACATTTGACAAAAATACAAATAACAATTTGCTTATTGTATTCAAAGGTCTGCCAAAAGCTCTCTGCATCCTAACATTGGACTTGCTAACAGCAATAAATGCTGTTTCTTTGTACTATGCCTTCACAAAACAACAAAAAAGTATACAATATATGTGCCAAAGCACATGAAAGATATCATTCCAAAATTGATCTGATGACCTGTTGCTGTCATAGACAATGTGCTCCTTCCCCTGATCATCCCGCTGCCACACCACAAAGCCTTCTGCACCAGAAAGCTCCATTCTCATCCTCACACCCAGCAGAACCGATGCCCACACTGCAAATCTTCTGCCATCATCCAGCCTGTTCATGGCTGACCAAAAACATACAAATGTACCTTCAGCTTGAGCAGTGTCAACATGCTGCAGACAAATGACATACAAACTAGAGTGACAGAAGCCAACCAAGACTGAAAAATGTCCAAAGCATATAAACACATTCAAGTCAAAATGACTGAAATTAATGAAAATAATCTTATTACAATTTTAATACTTTTATTTGCAAATCTAAATTAGAAAGAAAAAACAATTTTATTTCAATTTAGAAATCTAAATTGAAATTGAAAATGTTGTGATTTCAATTTAGAAATCTAAATTGAAATGACAAATGTCCTGATTTCAATTTAGAAATCTAAATTGAAATGAAAAATGTCCTGATTTCAATTTAGAAATCTAAATTAAAATGAAATCACATTTCATTCCAGTTCAAACATCTATAGTCGATTGACAGCTTGAACTGCTAAGCTCTCTTTTCATATCCTGCATGATATCAAAGTGTCATTCATGTGGGCCAGGATCAGTCCAATCTGGCCAGCCATGCATCTCAACCTTCTCCTTGATGGCTGCCATGATGAGCTTCATCTTCTTGTTCTGACAATATGTTGACAACATCTTCTTAGCTCTTGGGCTCTCATGATTACACCAGGCCAGTAGAAGAAGCCCCATCTTCATAGCCCATCCATTCCATGCTCGAACTTCATCATTCTTCTGATTCTTTGGTTCCTGTAGCAACCCAAAACAAACATATTTCTTAACCACTTTATGTCCTTACAACATACCATTATTTGCTGTTTACACAAATGCTACTTACAAAAAATTGCTTCAAACACTGAACAGTGGTTCCTGCCTGCTTGGTAAGTATGCCACCATCACCATAGAGCTGCTTCCACATGTCTTGTGGAGAGGAAATCAATTTAGGTCGACTTCCACAAGGTTGACTGCCCTGCTCCTGCTGTAGTGGCACCTGGTCTGGACTAACTGTAGTGTAGTCTTTCTGGTTCTTGGACTCCTCAGTCCCTTGTGTGGCATCACTTGTTGCTGCCATTCCTTGGGTCTTGCTGTTGTGCGACACAGATTTGTTGGCTGTCTCACTCTCTTCAGCCACCTCCTTCTTTTGCACTGTGTGTTCAGTGGTCCCAACTGGTCGAGCTTTTGGAAGAGGAGAACTTTGCACAGGAGTGCTGGAAGGCATGTGCCAAGGAGCATTGGTGAACTCATGCTCACTCACTGGTTCACCAGGTTGTTCATCTTTCTTCTCCAGGCCACTCCCAGAGTCTGCTTCCTGCTTGAGCTGCACCATGTAGTCCAAGGCCTGAGGTCAAGGGATACAGTACAATTGATTTAACACACATGACTGTTTGTCAAAAAAAAGCTAAACAGTGTACACTGGTCAATGGCCAAGTGGCACTCATATCCTGCTGATTTAAAACACATAACTGTTTGTCAAAAAAACTAAACAGCGTACACTGGTCAATGGCCAAGTGGCACTCATATCCTGCTCCTGCTGTGTAAAATGACTCTGCAAGAGTCTGGTCACATCTGCAACTAGAGCATCATCAGGCATCGAAGGGTCCTGCAAGCTTTGCATACCAGTGCAGCAAACACAAGTTTGAACAACAGACCATACACTACACTTGGGTTGGTTGGTTGGTCCAACAAATCTACAAGCTCATGGTCCTCATCATCCAAGTTGGCCCAAGCATCCCATCCCTTCTTTGGCCTCTTCTTTTCAGAGGTCTCTGCAGAAGGAGTGTCCCTCTTCATCTCTATGGAAAAAGCTAGTGCAGCTAGTGCTTGAGCATGGATCAAACAGAATAAGGGCATTGTAAGAAACAACTCTCTTAAGCCACAAAATG